AAGCAGACTCTGTAACATCAAGGAGGATTGAGTTGTCTCACCTTGAGGATTTTGACTACGACCTTCTCATTGTTTGTCACATTAATAGCCTCGAACACCTCGCTGTACTTCCCTCGGCCCAGTTTACGCACAAGCTGATAGTTGTCTTGATTGCTGGAGAAAAAAAAAAAAAAAAAAACAACAACAAATGAAAAAAAACAATCTGAAGTAACTGAAATTGTTCTGTCCTGCTGACACCACTGTGGCATTTTACCTCCAGTTTGGCACATGTGCATCATAGTCCCAGTACTCTCTGTTCTTCTGTGTGTTGACGTCGGTGTATACCCGAGCCTTGCTGCTGGCCGGTGAGGATCCGGGCATCGCTGGCTTTGGGGCTCCGTGTACGGGAACGTCTCCTCCCTCGAAATACTCGGCTCGATACTGAAGGGCAGCGCAGCGGCAGTGCGAGGTCTGCAGCTCTAAGATCCCTGCGCTGTGCTTACCATTGGCTTTGGCTGCTTGTCGCCTTTGACAAAGGTTGCCAGGCCAGTCTGAAGCGGCCGCTGTGCAGACGGACAGAGCTACTATAACTGAGTGAGTGAAACCCCTGAGAATGTGTGATGTGATGGGATGAAGAACCGCCAGCTGTGGGGAGAAGGCAGAACATATCCCGGAAGTTAGTCCTCAGCAGTGGCTTTGAGTTCTACAGCATATTACTTTCTATGTTCTACAATGCAGTAGAAAGGTATTTACCCAAATAAAGATTTCTTCCATTTTTCTACTGTTCTGTTTTTTTGGACACTCAAAAACCTTTATTTTCTTTTTCCATTCAGAGGTAGACTTTGGCTTGTTATTCTACTGCATTGTTTGCTGTATTTGAGCTTAGGATCCCAAACGGATGGTCAGACATTCTCCTTCAGGATTTTCTAGTAGAGAGAAGAATTCATCGTTCCATCAAAAACAGTGAGCGTTCCTTTTTCAGACTGATGGATTTGACCAAATGTGTTTCTTCCCATTTCTAACATATCATTGACTATTAAGTTGTTTGAGACCTTTTTGCATAATTTGTCAGTCAAACAGAATCTGAAGGACTTATTTCTACAGTTCATACAGAGATCAGGCCTGACTGGTTAGACAGAACTACACTAAAAAATGTGGTTAATCACCATTAAAACACAGGCAAAAGATTTTAGAGTGGTTTGAAGACTGTTTCTACATTAAAAATGTAACTCATAATTTAAAAAAAGCTGTCTAATTACCCCAGATTTTCTTAGAGTTTGATTTGAAATGCTTCAGCATGACAACAAAAAAGGGACAAATCTGCAATGGGGCAAATTATATATCACAGTACTGAAATGCATTTTTCCAAATGACACCATCAGGGTGCTTCCTGTCTGTAAGTGGACAGAATAAAGACTCACAAATTACAATAAAAAATAATAAAATACTACTAATAAGGAATTATAAAATATATCTTATGGAGTAATTAAAACCATGAAGACAAATGAAAAAGGCATTAAGATATCAAAGTAAATGAGTAAGATAACCACTATTTTAGGCCACAATATTTGAGGATTCAGGATAATAAGAGCAAACCTAATAGAACATTTTAAAACTCAATGTAAATTACACACATCAAGTATTTATATGCATAAAGCAAAAACCATTAAAGACATGAGGAAAAACTAATATAATGTTGATCAGATAGTCTGAAAGTAACCGATAAAAACTGTTAAAAGGAAATTTTACTAAAAGGAAATAAAAGTTTAACATTATTCTATTGATATGGCTTCTCTTACTACGAGCACAAGCCAGATGGCAAGTATGTGAACCCTGCCTGCCTGAACAGGATCTCTGCTCAACCAGTTTAGCAGCTAGTCATTCTTTTAAAATTATCTCTTTTTTTTCTAGACTCTAGTTTTGTAAATCTTGGACCAGATAAACACACAAATGTTTGAATGGGAAGAATATTTAAAAAACAGATAAAACATTTTCCTTTCTCTTTTAGAATAAGAATTTTCATTTATCAAGATGACAATAAATTTCAAATTTTAAATGTCTTAAAAAAAACCAGACTTTACAATGTTTATTCCATCACTGTTTTTTGTATGAGAATAATAAATGAATATTACACTATCTTATATATTACAACAAATATGATGAAACCCAGGAAAGCAATGTGGTAGATAGATTATAAATAAAGTTATATATTTTGCGCTTCTTGCTTTCTATTAACATGGCAGTTAGCTTTTATTTCTGTTAAATGTAGTATTTATTTTTTGAAAGCAGTGTCCATCTCTGTAGAAAACAAACTCTCTGATATTCCAATCCTTTGACCAAAACATCTGGTGTTAGTTTTGTAAAGTTTGTACTCTACTGATCCTGTTGTTCCCACAGACCCACCAAAGACACAACCTCTACTGTGCAACACACCAACTGTTCCGATCAGGATTTCCTTATGACGGGAATTGTTTGTTTTTAGTATTATAAAAGGTTTCTAGTTTAGTTACTTAAAATAAAAATCACACATTCTTTTGCCAAAGCTACAAATTACACACAACGATGCATAAAACAAAAATGTCTCTCAAAGTAAAAAAGGCAAACTATGATGCAAATGTCAAGTAAAAATAGACGTTAAGATCTAAGCTGTAGCCTATATATATATATATATACACACACACATACATTATATAAAATTTGGACGTAATTAACAAACTGAAGTCGACGTAAATACCACAAGCTTCTTTATAAAAGATTTATAATATTAACTAGTGTTTAAATAACTATACGTAATACATTGTAATGAATCTCACGTTTTCTTTTATTTCTAGATTTCTCTCTTTTTCCATCCTAAAAACAGTGAGAAACATATTAGGAAGTTTGTAATTTGAGCATCTTTTGCGGTTATGTTCCCAGATTGGCTGCTCTAATGGGCCTTTTTATTAATCCACCGTCTGCTCTAAATCAGTGTAGCCGAAATTGGGTTATTATCCTAAGTGTAACTGCAGCGTTTGGTATAATTTTTAATCAAAACACGTCATTAACACCTTAAAGACTGTTCCCAACTGTGGCGGGATCAGTTAGCATCGTATGTGATGGACTCAGCCGACGCTAACGAGGCTAACTACTGACGGTCGCCTAGCTAGTTAGGACTGAGTAAAAAAAATAAAGTTTGAGTACAACCTGCGGAGAAGGAGAAAAGTGTACCAGCTGACTGCCTCTCTGTGTGAAAAAGCAGCTTAAACCGATCACACTAATCAATCAAACTGATCGATTAGTGGCGTACTTTCCGAAAGCTGAAACACAAGCTAAAGTTAGCTGCTAACCTCGAGCGGAGAGAGACTCTTCAGTCATTAACGGTCGCTCGCTCGCACGCGCCTTCAGCAGCTGTGTCCTCGCGGTGATGGTGGCCGCCAGTTTCGAGGTGATCGATGAAGGGGTTAGCTTATTGATCCTGACAGATGGGCGGCGGCGGTGGTGGAGGTGTCTCCATCAGCTGCTGATCATCTCCTCTGCAGTAAACATCACCCGGAAGCTAACCGAGCGGACGCTCCACCACACCAACGCTAAAATCACTAGTTTTCTTGCTTTATTTGAATGTAAAAAGAAATATATACGTAACTGTGATCAGCTTTTGTTTTAAAGGGGCTAAAATATGAAAAATAATTTATATTATCCATATTTTAACCAAAAAATACAAATAGCACTATTTAAAAACATAAGTACAAAACAAAGTTATGCCTAAAACGTGTGCGTATATATATATCTATATATAGATATATATGATTATATACATTCATATATGTATATATATATACATATATATATATATATATACATATATACATACATATATATATATATACACATATATATATATACACATATATATATATATATACATTAACTTCAGATTGTGTAGTCAAAAATCTATTTAAAAAATCACTACAGTTAAACCTATTAAATAATTTTTTTGATTTAAAAACTTTTAAAATGGTGAAAAAAATGTACGTGATTGTTTAAACGTATGTTAGATTATTTATCACATTTTTGATTTTAGAAAATTAAGGTTTTAGGTTTTAAACCCTGTGGAGAGGGGAAAGTTAGAGAGATTCCAAGGGCCTATAAATGAGGGGGCCCAAAAGGATATATTGCTCTATATATTTAGAAATAAGTCAAATCAAGCAGTTTTCTACAGTAAAGGACAAATCAACCCACCCCGTGAAGTTGCAAGAAATGCAGGGGGGCAATAGGAATTGCCTTTCAGTGGGCCCCAAATTCGTGGTGGCACCCATTTAAACCTATATCCAAATATTTGTACACCTTATAGAGCTAATATAGCAATTATTGCAAGAAAGTACGTGTTTTTTTTTTTTCAGTTTTGTACAGGCCTTGTAAGGGAGAGAGCAAATATGTGAACAGGAATCTGCACTTGGATTAAATCAAAACATTTTGGCTAAATCAGGCAATATAGCTCGAAAATCTCCTCTTAATTTCTTCCCTACCTAATCTCCTTTTAATTTTTCTCACTTGTTTCATAATAAAAAATAAAAATACTGCCTTAACAAACTAGCTTACATTAGTGAAAAAAAATCTTGAATTCACCATAAGAAGTAATCACTATTAACAAGATTTGTTTAATTGATTTTATCGATTAATCACGCAGCCCTAATTCTGGCCGACATCGCAAAGCTTTTATGTAGTAATTAACTATGTCGATCTCCTTGAACAGACCATCACCATGGTGAAATATTACTATGGCAGCATCATGCTGTGGGGACAAGAATGCTAGTCAGAGTTAAGGAGGATACTTGAGACTGGAAGTTGTAACTTTTATATAATAATAATACAAGAAAAATAATAAAACACACTGTAGTGTGTAGTAAAAGTCGCTGTATCTTTATCTGCTTTAGGCCCTTTCTCTGAATAGCTTAAATGCATTTGGATTTTAAAGACAGACACACAACTTATTATAAGGGTGGTTTATTTTAATATACAGTATGAACAGGAGTCTATAATGATATCCATATGCTTCAATGCATTCACACCCCTCATACTCCAACAGGAGATTTTGAAGCAGACTCACCAGGATTCAAACCATGGCACACAGTCCCAAACCCCAACTAACCCCCCCTCCCCGTCATGATTTCTACTCCAAGAACTTTCCTTTAAATATACTGCAAAGATTGTACAGAATATAGAAATCCACACAGTAAACTAAAGTACACACATCTTATTTTTTTTATTTATTATTTTTACCTTTATCCTTGGTATAAACCAACACATAAGTGGCAAGTTTTACTCAGAATGTTGTCTCCTGTTTGGAGCAGGAGCAGGCTAGGATTCTGTGGAAACGATTCAAGGCCAATTAAAAACAAATAATAACATAACCTTTATAAAATCTACTACTTTTATAAAAGCAACTACTTTTCTGGCAAGTGAGCAACGTAATGCTTTGTGGGGTTAAAACCTTGTGATAACTGGTGGAAATGAAACTAAGCCGCCTGCAGAGTGCAGCAAGCTCATTCAGAGTGAATAAAAAAAGCAGGTAACATAAGCACTATACAGTTCTCAGTTTACAGAGCGTATACACACAATCTATAATATAGCAGACTATTCCATGAATCAGTAGTCATAAATATTACACTGTGCATGTTCTATTGCACAAGTCAAGTGTTTCTATGACACTATAGGTACGGGAGTTAGTTACCTACGTGTCATTTGTTTTAATACAAAGATACAACAACACAGATTTTATAGGACAAGGGCTATACAGTTTCACAAATTCATGTGAAATCTTTTCTTCTTATTCCTCTTAGGATGCTGCCCTAAATTAATCAAACCTATCATACAACAGTAATACTAAGGTGAGATAATTATCCATGCACAATGAAATGATTCTACCTAAGATGTGGGAAGAAACCGCTGCACACGGCAGCTGCTGAACAGGAGGGGAGAGGTTAGCTTTCAGCTTCACTGGACGGGAATATTAAATAAAAAACAAAATAAGCACTAAAGAGGTGAGCATAAGAAAACAAAAACAACCAAAATAATAAAAAGGCACATGTACTGAAGAGGAGCTGACGACGCACTCACAAGTGGGATGACTGTCTGGAAGCTTGAGCCAACTTTCTCAACAACAGATTCAAAGGTTACGAAACGAACGACCACATGCAACCACAGACTACAGTCCCAGACTTTACAAAGGAAAAAAAAAACTGTCCCATGTTCCAAATTCACATCTTTTTTCTTTCTTCTCAAGTTTCTTGTTCTGTAAAGGAGGAGGATCCTGATTCCCTCTGTGCCCTTGGACTCACTGAAACAAAGGATGAGCTGAGTCCTGACGATCGGAATAAAAGTGAACGTGTTTAAAAAGCGGCTGAGCTGTGGATGGCGCCTGTTTCCTTCTTGATAAATGTCATGTCTAGGGCTCATTGGATACAAGGAGCTTCGGGGAAGTTCTCGTTCTCTGCAGTGTGCTGCACCGTGTGCTCCTGCAATGCTGTGAGGTCAACAAAGCGCTCGCCGCACCACACGCACTTAAACTGTGTCTCCCGTGAGTGCACGCTCTGGTGCTTGGCCAAGTGCTCTCGCTGCTTGAAGCTCTTGTCACAGTTGGCACACTTGAAGGGCTTTTCGCCTGTGTGGACCCGTCGGTGACGCTGTAACTCAGAAGAGTACCTGAAGCGCTTCTCGCAGTCGGGGCACTTTAGCGGCTTCTCCCTTGTCGGGTCGCACCGGTGCTGGACGAACTCGGAGGATGACACGAAGCGCTTGTCACACAGAGAGCACTTGAGCGGCTTCTCCGTACAGTGGGTGCTTTGATGCCGCTGCAACGTCGAATTCTTTTTGTAGCCTTTGCCGCAGACGTCGCACTTGTAAGGTTTTTCTACTTCGCCTCCGCATTTGTGCCGCAGGAGTTCCCCCGACTGGCTGAAGGACTTCTGGCAGGAGGCACACTTGAAGAGGCTTTCCATGCCATGAACCTGCTGGTGGTAGAGCAGGTGAGACGGCTGCAGGAAGCCCTTGTCACAGAGGTTGCATTTGAACGGACGATCAGCTGGGTTTTTGTGAGTGCGGCGGTGGCGCACGAGAGCGTACTGCTGCTTGAAGCTCATTTGGCACTCTTCGCACTGAAAAGGCCGCTCCTCGGAGTGTGTGCGTTCATGCTGCCGCAGGTCGGACGGCCTCTTGAAACTCTTTCCACATGAGCCGCAACGGAACGGCCTCTCGCTTTCCGGCTGGCACTGATGGTGCAGGAGCTCCGACGATTCTTTGAAGTGCATTTCGCATAAGTTGCACTTGAAAAGGTGTTCACCCGAGTGGGCGTACATGTGCCTCACCAGGTGAGAGCGGTGTTTGAAACTCTTCTCACATACAGCGCACTTGTACGGCCGCTCAGAACTGTGCGTGCGCTGGTGGTGTGCCAAATGCGAGGACTGGCTGAAGCTTTTTTCACACGTGTCACATTTGTATGGCTTTTCCCCCGTGTGGATTCTTTCGTGGCGGGTAAGCTCAGAAAGATGGCGGAAGGATTTGTGGCACACTGAGCATTTGTACGGCCTGTCAGGCGCAGAGGCCTCAAATGTGGGGGGAGACGAGGCGTTGATGACTGCGCCGCCACCGGACGTCTCTCCGGTGGACGGCTGCTGGGGGTTGGCGGCTGATGAGGTCGGGGTGACGTTCCCTGAGCCCGGCCGGTACGTTTTCTCACAGATTGAGCACTTCATAGGATTGTTCCCATGAGAGTTGTGATGTTGAGCCAATGAGGTGAGCAGCGAGAAGCCCATTTTACAGACGCCACAGACGAAAGGCTTCTGCTCCACTTGCACGCACTGATGCTCCAGCAGGTCGGTTGCCTGGCTAAAGATCTTCATGCATTGTGTACACTGGAATGATCGGTCCTGAGTCACCATGCACTGGTGCTCATGAGGATTGGCCAGGTGTGAAATGTCATGTCCACATGCACCACATTTGTGCCCTCTGTCTGCCCCCACCTGCAAAGAGGCCTGCTGGGCTTGGACAACATGTTGCTGGGAGAGCTGGGGCTGCTGCAGAGAAGGGTCTGGCTGCAGGACGACTCCATACACGGTACAGCTCAAAGAGTTGTCAGCTGCCTGAGGGAGAGTGTGCACAACAGAGGGTGGAGCCACTGTATGCTGCTGTTGCTGCTGCTGCCATGCCTCCGTCATCCTTCCACTGTGGATGCAGGGAGATCAGCGCTCAGAGGGGGGAGGATTATATCCCAAATCTGACACAAGGACGGATGCAGAGGGATAAATGGGAAGCCAGCCTTTAATGGGTGCTTCAGAATTCCTTTAGTGTTTAAAGAAAAACCTGGAGAGACAAAGAGTATAGAGAATAATAAACTACAAATACAAGATAATACTGAAATAATGTAAGTATGAAAGCTGAATCGGTGAGGGAGCAGTCTAGCGTCTGAAAACAAAGTGCTATATAGTCAGATTCTTGCTTCTAGTAATGGTAAAATGAATAAATAAAATAAACATCAACCACATTGTTTGTTTCATTTGCCGTTTACATCATGCAGATGTTGTATGGTTCAAGAAAGTCCTTTAAATGACAGTAGTCAAAGTACCTTAGACTCCAGAATGAAAACACAGTCAAAGGGTCCGTCTATTTCCTGGAAAGCTAAGCGGTCATATAGGGGTTTTGTGTTTTAGTCTAATTCTTTAGGTAATTCCTTTGTAAATTATTTTAAAACAAAGCGTTTTATTTAAGGTATACGGATGTATTTTCTTTGTGGGTGAGGCTTAAAATGCTTCTGCTTCAGTATGAAGCTTGATGTTAGCATGATAGCTGCTAACGGGTTGGAGCTTCCTCTCATTTACTAAAATAGAATAACATCCGGGGTTTCAAAGTGATAAAGCACAAAAATAAGCATTTTTTTTTTTTTATTGAGGACTTTCTGAGGCACCGCGACTCGTAGAGGGCATGGTACACCTATAAAAGCGGCAACATTTAGCTAGTTTGATGCCAGGCTGCGCTGCGGAGGGAGCCCGGATCAGAGCAGGCCTCCTCGGAGCTGCAGGGGGAAAAATCCGCCTCCTGCAGCCGAGCCGCCCCGCATCCGCTAAAAAGAGCAAACCTCCATCAGTACCCACAAAAATCCGCCATAACTCACCGGGTCTCCTTATCGACGCTCCTCATTGACGTCTCCGGTCTTTAATCGGCAACCATAGGTGTTTTCGGTACTCGAGGACCCGGCGGCTGAGGGGATGCGGTCGAAGCCGGACGCCATCCTCCAGCAGACGGACGGACACCGGAAACCACCACGCAGCGACCAAACGCCGCTGTGCTGCAGCAGTTACAACCGCTTCATGCTGGAGGAAAATCTAAAAGCAGCAAAAGCGGAGCTCCGGTGTTTATATATGCGTTTCGGTATCTGTGAAAAAATGCTTTCAAACTAACAAAAAGGCGATCTGGAACTGATTAAAACATGACAGCATGTAGTACTTACTTTGGCCAGCAGGAGTCCCTGTTTCGCTATATCGCACAATGTAACCGCAACCTGGTTCAAACCCGCTATGAACGTATTCACCCAATGAACTTTGTCAGGTTCTGGCATATTATAACCAAAAACTTGGTTTTAAACATTGGGATTCGATGTGGAATATCACACAAAAAGCGATGCATATTTAAGAAGGTAAAGAACAATAATGCATTGTCTTCAAACTGTGGAGGCCCGTTTTATTGACACACTTTTTTCTAATCAAATGTTTGATGTAAAATTTGTAGAAATTACCAGCATCTGATTCTAAAGTAGATTCACATGTAAACAGGGCTAATCCAAACTAACACTTATCAACCTTGTCAAGTGGATCAGTGATTCCAGTAGCGGTTCTAGACCAAATGTACCAGGGGGCCAGGAGGGGCCCAGTGTGTTTTTATGGGGGCACAGAAAAGCATGAAATAAAAAACATGGCAAGGGATTCAAATATATTAATATAGCTGCATGAAGTGAAATTTCTATTCAATTAGGTTTAATCAATCAATATACATTCATAATTTAGGAATTTTACATCTTTTTGACTTAAGTGGAAGTGACTTTAATTTAAAATGACCATTTTCTATAAATTCTGAATTATAACTCAAGAAAACCTAATAAATTCAGCTGTAAAAATTAGAGTCGTTTTTTTTTTTCTATTTGTTTTGAAAAAAACATTTAACAGATGAAAACTGGGATCCTATCTCAATACCACTGAAGTTATTAACCTAAAAGTAACCATGTCTGTTCCAGCGCATATCATCATTAGAAATTCTTTGAGTATTATGTCTTCAGTACAGGGGGGGACATACACGGTGCATACTTTTGCGTGTGTCACATGTAAAAGGATAATGTAATTTTGTTCATTTCCGTGAAGTAGGATGTGTATACAGTATATAAATACGTCTTGTGATGCAAAGGATTGTGGGATTCCTTATAGCTCCTTTAGTAGCTACCAGATAGTAACATGGCAAGTTCCCAATGCTAACAAACTATGATAAGAAGCATCCTCCTTCTTCTTCATACCTTCTTCCTTACTGCCTCCATATTAGAACGGTGCCTATCATGGCGACCGCTGATGCTGACTTCGCTGTGGCTTCAGAGTTCTTAACAATTTGCTGTATTCGGATCAAGCCTCAGGGCAACTCATAACCTGGGGTTATGAGTTGTGGCAGGATGCAGAGTGAGGCTTATCAACTGATGGGGTATAGTGTGGTTTATATCCTGACTGTATTTATGAAAAGAATTTCCTGCTTTTTGGTTTACATTACAGTCAATCCAGGGATTGCCACTGTTTCTAAAATGAACTTCCCAAATTATTTCCACAATACACCTATTCTATAACAACTGTATAAAATATAAAGCCAGCCTTCAGGGTCATGAACTGCTCACCTGAATTCCCAGTCGTCCTGATTGGTGCTCTTCAGTGTCTCATTTAACTGTTCTCATAATAATAATAATAATACATTTGATTTAACAGAGCCTTCCTAGAAACTCGAGGTCACTTTACAGAAATAGAAATTAAAACACAGGAACATAAAAACTCATGTCCTCTTTGGGGTTGAGGACCTTTAGTTTTTCAGCTTTACTGTAGCTCTTCACTACAGTAGATGTAGCATCCAGATTGTCTGTGACCCTTTAAATCCTCCCTTAAAACTCACCTTTTCAGACAGGCATAATCACTTTTATCCTGGGAGTCAAATTACCTCACTGTTACTCCTAATTCCTGATGGTATTTTGACTATACCTTCAATATTCTTTACCATTTTCTTTTTTTTTTCACACCCCCACAATGTTTCTTAAATGGAATATGTTATTGTCAATATATTGGGATCTTAGAACTGGTCCTAAAGCTAATAATCGATCGCAACAGAAGGTAAATACCATCGCTCTGAACTTTACTGTTTTTGCAGATTTTCATTGATGTACAAAAAGCAGCTATGGATTTAGGGTAGTTTATTTTTTTGTTTTTTTTAAACATGCCCTTATTTTATTATAAACCTTCACTGTAAAGAAAGGAAAATGTTAAATGGAATAAAGTTAATAAAATGGAATAAAATATCAAATATAGAACTTTATGTCAATTCAAGTTCCCAATTTATGAGAATGTGATACTATTGGAATTCATTTGGAAGAGTAAAACAATATAACTGTTTGGTATATTGATGAATATGATCATTTGTAATGTGAACAAGAAATATATATAGTATGTGGCAGCTGCCCCCTGAATTTATGTACGTAATTAAAATACATTGAAATACTAATCCCTTATTTGTCCAAAAGCCAATTAAAACTTGAAGGCTGTAATTCATTACTTAATAAAACTATAATATATACTACTATATGATGTACACTATATTATTTATGTTTATATAATTTATAATATAAAATAACATTTCTAAGAGAACTGCTTGTGTTATCTGTATGAATTCAATTAAATTCAATTCAGTTTATTTATATAGCGCCAAATTCACAACACATGTCATCTCAAGGCACTTTACAGTTCAACCAGATCATACAGTCAAATTGATACAAAGTTTTCTATCTAAGGAAAACCAGTTGATTGCATTGACTCATTGACTCAAATACAATCCCTCACACTAAGCTCACACTGAATGTGATAAATAATTTTTGATTTCATATTGACTGGGTTAATTAGAGGGAACAATTGTTCCAAAAACTTGATGCTTGCACATTGCAGATCTTCATAAAAAATAAAATTTAAAAGTGGAGATATTTTTAGTTTCTTTTGCCAAAAAAATTAGGGTTAAGAAGAAAAACACTGTGATTTGAGGAAAGAATAATAATTTAGAGATCAAGAGAGTTACAGGTGAAGCCACTGAAAGTGCAACAGCTGAGGAATTGGGTGAAGATGAGGAAAATTATGTTGGTAAAAGTGGTGATAATGAGAAGAGCTAAGAATCAGAGAGAGAGAGAAAAAGAAAAGAGAGGAAACTGATCTAGAAGAAAATTGACAGATCAGGAAATCCAGCTTATCCAAATGGAACATTCTCTGTATGAATTCAGGTGCAGAGAATGTCATCTTTTAGAGCTCTTTAAAGTGATAGTTGAAATCTGTTTTTTGTATAGTAATGGAAGGTCGTTATGACTTTGACTTACAGAGTTTTATCCATTTCTGTATATATTTTGTGGAACATGTTTATTTATGAGTTAGCTATACCTAAAAGATTTTGAGAAAATGACACAATAAAATATTGCGGGGTTTTATGTGTGTGTTTTCTTGAATCTATTTACATATGTACTTGTGTATTTTAATGAAGATGTCCAGCTTTTCCACCCTGCCTTGACAGTTTGCACCCTTTTGGGACTCCATGTAACATTTTACCTTTTTATTTTTTCTTGGCCAGTTGGCCAAAGCAGAATCTCAGCCAAAATATGAATTTCTTCTTTGGATAATTCCTCATTATTACAGATGATTTAAAACAATTTGTGGAACCTTTGCTTAATGTAAAAGGGAGTTCTCAAAGCTTTCTTATAACATTATTAAAATATACATTGACCTCACCTATACACCACCATAATGCTTCTTCCATCGTCCCAGTTAATCTACAAGAGTGTGAAAACGTTTTTGCCTCCTTGAAAATGTCAGTTTTTTTCCTTATATTTAAAGGTACAATGTGTATTTTCCAGCGACATCTAATGGTCAGACTGCAGCAATTTCAGCCATTTTAATTTAGTCCTACAAGGACTGTTTCATGTTATACCTCTGCAAGCCTACGCAAGCCCCCTTGCAGAAAATCGTGTTGGGTATAATCGTCCCCATTGATTCTTAATGAGCAATCAACACCACAAATTTGTGCATTGTGGGGTTAAGGGCCTTGCTCTCGGATCGAGAGTGGCAGTCTGTGGGAGTGGGGCTGGAACTCAGAACCTCTGGATTCCACTGGAGTCATCACTGCAGTTTAAATTTGTAAGGAAGGCGTATTTGAATGCCAAATCATTCTGGCCTAAACATGTATATAAATGTACTCTTTATCAGACTATATTGTCACAAAATTTAGAAAATTTCTATTTAAAAAAAAGTCCTGTCTTAAAATCTGTTTTTTCTTTTGTGAATTCAATGCAGGCTAGTTAGTTATACGTCAGCTTGTACACCTAAATTCGGCCAATCAAATATCAATGGTCATCTGTCAATCAAATTGTTTCAGTTATAGCATCTTTACTTATATGTCGCAGCTAATATACGCAACGGTTGAAATAAGAATCATTTACTTTCCCATTGAGTTCCGTCCCAGTGTTCACAGGGATGGACGTCTGTGTCTTCGGCAGGCGTAGAGCTAACAGAACTGGCAGCGTTGCGAGGCAAGGGCTCAAACATGTACGGCTGGAAGCCTTCTACACCAAACCAAGCTTCTGCCGCCCTGGCGTCCTCTTCCAAAACAACTTTGTCCCCACTTTCTTCCTCTAAATAAAAATGTATGACAGAGGAGACTCATCCATGACCTCTGACACCAATCTCTCCTCCTCTTGTATGTTTCCGCTGTCCATTGTGTTCCTTGACAGTGTTGTTCCTAAGTGCTACTTGGTCCCAATGTAATTTCCCATTGGTAACCTTCTAGCCCTAAGTTGCTAATTGGTTAGCAAGATTCCTCCGAGACACAGGGCCACAACTAAAAAGGTTTGCGAATCATCCGCCACTACAATCCCGCCCCTTTGATAAAAGATCAATCACATAAAGTCGTGCACCACTCGGGAGAATTTGGAAATGGAAATGCAACAGTTGGAACAGCCGCATCCCTACGACTTTAAGTAGTTAAGAATCAGCTTTATAATATTTCAGTCCTTTATGCCTGTAAAAAAAAAAATAAAATGTTTTCTTTAATAGATTTTCTCCCCAGAATGGGTTTCATAATAAGGCCTTCAATATTGTAAGAGCTTCACTGGCAGCAACCCTTTCTAGTTCCGAAATAATACAGACTAAATGAAAAATCACACAGAGCCTGTTCATTTCAAACATTATATTATTTTCTTCACGTTGACTTTGAAACAACCTCATAAACCAAAGAGTAAGAAAGAGCATGCTCGGGCATGCAATGATGTCACAACATGATGATGTCACCAGGTGCGAAGTATAAAACATACAGTAGCAGAGAGTTTGTTCTTGGTATCATTCAGAAACTCTGGGACGTCTTGGTACCCGCTGAGAGGTAAAAGCTAGCATTTATTTTACACCGACCTCGGCGCCCCGCCCTGCCCCACCCTTCTTTGACAAGAGGGGAGGAGCTCACAGACTGACACCAGATCGAGCAGGCTAAACAAACATGCTGGAAGAAAATAAATAAATATATAATCAAAATAAATACATAAAAATCTCCTCCAGTCCAGAATGTGTCTGAAAATGACACAATATGACTGGTCCGAAAAGAGGGGAGGGCGGCGAGGAGAGAGAGACAAAACAGTGCATGCCATTTTAGAATAAACAGGGCAGATGGAGGTTCAGGTCAAATTATCTCCTCATCGCCCAGCCCACATTTAGTATTTATTTATTTTTTCATTGTAAGTCCAGTTAAAAATGAACATTTCAGAGGGGAAATGAATAAATACGAGGCACTCAGCATTCTCTCTGTCTTGCAAACTGCAAAAAGTAACAAAGTCGGATAATAATGAAACATCGACATATATATTAGTGTTTATAACATAACAGTCTCCAGGCTGTACAAAGGGGGGAGAGGTTAAGACCTCCTCAGTTACTTTGCGTGTCTTATTCTCTGCGTGCTGATGTGTGTGTGTGTGTGTGAGTGTGTGTGTGTGTGTGCATTTGTGTGTGTGTGTTTGGACTTATAAATCCCACCCACTTATCGTAAATTCAGGCGTGTGCTGGCGTCTGATTCCAAAAATCAAACGTGAATCTGGTCCGATTCGGTGCCGACAGTCGAGGTGATGTATGTGGGGTGGAGCTGAGTTGATTAAAGGGATAGAAAGAACGCACTTCTTGAAACCTTTCCTCATGCAATGGTTGTGTGTGTTGGTGTTGGAAGGAAAAAAATAATAAGGATGATGACAGAGCCCTTTAAAATGGATCTACTCTTGCAGCATAGTTTTGTACGTAGCGCATAGTGCCAATAGAGACTGGAGAGGGGAAAAGGGTTAAAGGATAGAAAGTGAGCCATGCTCTTGGTTTGCATGATCATCATGGTAACCAGGAAACAAGGGATTGCTATATTCTCATGTAAAGTAGCGCCACCTTCAGTCTGTCGGTGATGGACAACCATGCATGTGTGTTCCATTCAAAGCTGCTTTCTTGACTCAAAAAGGTTTTTCCTCCTCATGTTTGCAAGCTCAAAGTATGCATCTAAAAAAGGAAGGAAGGAACCGAAATGGGCTTCAACAGAAGGGGAAAGACCAGTAGCAACGATAGAAAGGCTCTGCTTTGTCCATCTCTCTGATCCAACACAGGACGTCCATCTCAGTTAGTAATAATATAATATATTGTAGTTATCAATATGTCTTTGAAGATAATAACTGCATAATGTTTAAATAAAGAAGTGGATGAAAAGAATGGCTACTCCAATATTGAGTAAAATGACCATAACCACCAGAATAGAGCTGGAGCCCTGAAAGACAAGAAAGGAAGAAACAGTTAGGTCACATTACTATAGATATGTAACAACATAAATACGTTCCCTTACCTCTATGATTCAGATATCCATGCCCAAATTAAAATAAAACTACAATAAGATTTATCAACTTCATTCGCTTATAACCACAGGCAGCGGTTTTTATTTTTCTAAAAATAATCCAACCTTTGGTTGCTTTAGTACAATATAGTCGCCCATAAATATGAATACACAGAATATAGGTTATTCAAAATTAGCTTTACATCCAACACATGTTCCCACCTGATACCTGATAATCTGATACATACAACCACACTCTGGCTTTGTAATTCTGTTAACCTCTTTGGACAAAATGTTACATCATTCTACATCCTTACCCACCCTTTGCCTTTTAATGGGTTTATCAAACCAAAGTGGAACTTTATTTATTGCACTGCTAGCTAACCACAAGCAAGCAATTCTGGTGAAATGAAAATCAAGGTCGAACATCCACCTATCAATGAGGAAAAAAT